TCATGTTTTATACTGTGGGTAGCTTTTCTGCATTTTTTACAGTAATTCTAAAAAACAACACTTTTGGTCACAACTTCATAGCTGAGCCTCAAGATACCACTTGCAGAGACAGGACCCAAATATAATCAGTACTACAGGAAGTACTTTCAATTCTTTGTTTTTGCATTACCACACAGTGTATTAAAATAAAGGTCAACATGCAGTATCGAAGTTCACAGTATCTGATATATTAGCACATAAATATCTTCAATTTTCCTACATATTATTTTCATGCCCATCAGCAGGCCTTTGAGCAGATTATCTTTTAAAATTCTCCCTCCTAGATATTTTTCTTTATGTCAGTCATGCACATAACACCTGTAACAAGGATGTTCTGCCAAAACTCTGCTCCAGAACTGTCATGTGTATGCCTGCACATCTAAGAACAAAGCAAGGGTTAATCAGTACTCAGTAAAAAGACTGGAAAATCCCTGTCTTCAACTTCATGAATATAAACTGTCAGACACATTAGAATGACAGGGAATAAATAACCACTATTAATATATTATGTAGTATTTATATGCAGTTATGATTTTTATTAGTATGAAATAACAGGTAACCAGCTCTAGGTTAAGTGAGTTACCTATTATTTCTCAGAACTTCGCTATTATTAGCAGATATATGCAGAGTTTCCAGAAAGAATTATTTGCCTAGAAGAAATCCTGTCCCTAAACCTGCTAAAGTAGTCCAGACTGATCCATTTCTTGACTTCAGAGCTGCTAAAAAAATCAACTCTCTCCTCCACCTTTCCCACTGCCCACCTTCCTTTATCATCCAGCTTCTAAGTCCTTGCCTTGCTGAATGAAGGTGCAGACAGGCTGAAGAGGGAGCTCTCAATCTCTACTCAGTGTGAAAGAAAAGAAAAAAAAAAAAGCACATTTAACACCTTTTGAGCTGTCTGCAAACTACACGAGACAAAGTATTAGCTTAGCACCCTTGAAAAATTATGATTATGTGAGCCTGGTACTGACTGTAAGAAGCCAAGTGAAACACCTTTATGAGCCCTCCTTTATCTTGGAAATTAAGTACCACTAGGAATACTACACCTCTATCAAAGAGCATAAACACAAGGACTTGCTGGTTGACAGACTTTGTAGCTAAAATGATAAATGTTTTGCTACCGAACATTAACTGCAGATCTCTCCTACAACAGCACACTAAACACATCAAAATGCAACATTTCACTAGGGTGAAACACTTCCCATTACTCTCTCAAGAAAGCTACATTCCAGTTTTGGAGGCAGATCAGTTAAACTTCAAGAAAAAACTTAAAAGTCTCTAACAGTTTATATTATGTCTATTTGCAGTGCACTCATCCTGACACCATACACTGGAGCTATTTTCATACTTCTACTAGAAAGAACATATACATGGTCCCAATTAAAAAAAAAAAAAAGCTGTTAAACTGTTAATTTTTATGAATGTAGTATGCGTAGCAATGTCACTTGGAAATGAACATTACAATAAGACTTAATATTTGAAAGATGACAAAATAGGCTCCCTAAAGTTTTTTTTTCTCTCTTTCACGAAATTTATCTCGGTAAGAGAGAGCGACAGACTGCTATATCATGGATCAGTATTACTCATCAAATCCCACAACATTAGGAACTACGAGCTCTCAATCACAGTAACAGATGCAGGTTTTCTTGGAGAATGATATAAACATGCTTTTGTACTATTTTTTCTTAGTATCAAAAAGAGTAATACTCAAAACCACCATATCTGCTATATAAAATATAGCAAGCATAGATCCGAAATAAAATATTCTGAAGCAAAATATATTGAGCTGATAAAAATTCCAACAAGAATTCTAACAGAGAAAAATACAGATAACATTTCAACTAAAAGAACTGCAAACACAGTTCAGGATGGAAAACATCACAGTACAGCCCAAAACATTCAATAACCATATGCTTATGATTAAAGGGACTAGTGTGAACTTTAAGGGGATCTTAGGTAACATTTTCAAACACAGTGACAATTGTAAAGGACAGACACAGAAATTACAGTGCTCTAAATGGTCATTTCAATTTCTCAGCTTGTTTGGATTTTGAAAAATTTCTTTTTTAAGCAAGCAGGCAAATCTCTCCAAAGACTAGCAAGGAAAATCTGAGGACTTTGAGATATTTTACATAGAGAGGGCTGCGAGCAGCAGCACTAAATGTGAATTTGCAAAGCTAATGACTACCTGACAGGCTCCCTGCTAGCACATGCACCAGAGATGAACACTGACAGATTTAGCTGCAGCAGTTTAAGTTATTATTGCTCTGGGTTCAACCATCCTCCTCTGCCACAAGCCACTGGCTATTGCAGTGGGGGCTCAATTTTATGAACACCACTGTAGCCTAGAGTGAAATATCTTTACCGTAAGTCACTGCTGAGAAGTGTTATCTGAACTTCCACAACCCAGCCTTCCACACTCTGCCATTGTGCATTTCCAGTGATGAAGACACCTGGGAAA